ATAGTGGACATTAGTTAATAATCAGCATAGGGTGTATTCAAACCCTATTCTGCATGACTTGAAATATTAAAGCAATTTTGTTTGTATGATCATCAGCTCTCAAAAGCTATATTACGACTGCAGCCTTTACATTAGGGGTGCCAAACATTTTCCCTGAGAGGGCCAAAATTAAAATCAATCTGAGAGCCGCGGGCCAAATGCAATAATATAAGAAATGCAAATATTAACTAAAGTTGTTTTATTTTTATGATTAAGCTAGCAGCCAGCGTGATTGCCTACAGTCTTTTTTATTTTTATTTTTTCAGCCCATGGACATGGAGAAAACTTGTGCTCAGGCAGCAAAGGCTCATGGGACTTTTCATAATTTAAAATTTGAGTATATGTGGTCTTAATGTGTGCAAATCTAGATACGGGCTTAAATCTAATCTAAATTTCTCATATAGTTACTTGTATTTTATATTTAATCTTAACATAATTACAATCTAGTAACCAGAACAACTGCCGGTGGGCCAAATCAAATGGCTTGGCGGGCCAATTTTGGCCCACGGGCCCCACTTTGTGCACCTCTGCTTTACATGATAAGTTTTTACCCCGATTGGCCTTTTATTAAGATTACTTGTGTCCATGCTACTGAGACGCATCAACTTCTTCTAAATAAGACAAACATATCTGTGGTGAGAAGTGAAAATGTAATGCTCCAGGAGTTCAGGACATGATTTCTGGTTACGTTAAATTAGAAGGCCATTAAATTAATATTAATAATAAAATAACCTTAGTTTTGCAATTGTCATTTTTCTAGTTTTGTTTTTAATTTCCTACCTGGTCTTTGATGAACAACAGATGCAAGTTTGGAAAAGCATTTGAGCAGTTTGCTGCTGTGAAGTATTTAAAGATAATACAAAGGAGAAAAAAAGTGAAAAAGTGAAAAAGTGCTTGTTGCTGCATAACCTGATAAGAATCACAAGGTCCCTTTCAAACTATTTGTAGTGCAACGTGAGAAAAAATATAAGCAAGTGCAAAAAAAAAAAAACACATTTGAATGGGCTGCCAATCTCTCAGATGGGAAATGTTCCAGCAAGTTTACCTTAAAGTTGAATCAGATCATACAAGATTAGAACTGACTTTAAACCCATATAGCCTCAGAATAACAAGATCAGAGAAGTGACCACCAACCTACCACATTCCCATACTGCAATTTCCACCAAACATAAAATGTAAAAAGATAAACCTCAAAATTTATTTTTAACCTTTGACCTCCATCCACTCATAATGGATCCTGCTGCTGGTCATTGTTCTGGTATTCAGAACTCTGGGGAACCCAGAGTTATGGTAAATTAACTTTGAGTTTCAATTGAAACTATTTGTCCAGAAACAGGAATATCTGCAGCTCACATGATGTTTTATCTATGGTTCAAAAAGAGAGCCGTGCTGTGGGCCCATCTGGGAGGTTAACATGTCGTCACACAGCTGCAGCACCTGCACATATTTCTCTCTGAGGCAGTGCGATAAAACACAAACGTCCTTTTAGATGTAAAATTTAAAAAACCATGAGCTCACAAATTACGAGACAGTGTGTGAGATATACGTATATCCTGACTCACGTTTTGTTTCCTCCGTGTGTCTGTTTGAACAACCACACACACACACACACACACACACACACACACACACACACACACACACACACACACACACACACACACACACTGCACATGTGTGGAGGTATTGCAGTGTGTTTGTTCTTTGCCTGAATGTGTATTTCTAGTGAAAAAACACAAACTGTACATATGTCAGGATGTTATTTACGCATCTCCTCTGTGTCTCTGAGCGTGTTGGCTCCAGATGTGTGGGGGTCAGAGCAGGACTGCCCTCCCTGTTTCAGAGGATTCCAGGTGTGGAACCCCATGCTCCCTGGACCCTGAGACATGGTGAAGGGTCACTTTATAAAAAAAAAAAAAACATGAAATATAACCACTAACCTGATGAACCTTGTTTATTCACTGATTTGTGGCAGATTTTACAATGATGAATATCTATAGCCTCAGTATGGTTTGGTTAATTTTTTTTTGTTGTAACAATGCTTCTTGGCAGTAAATATTATATCACTAGAAAGCCTGTTTATCTCACGGCGGCTGTGTTGGAGTGGCTAGGGGAGTCGTCCCATAACCAGTAGGTTGCCGGTTTGATCCCCGTTCCAGCTGTCTCAGTCATTGTGTCCTTGGGCAAGACACTTCACCCGCATTGACTGCTGATGGTGGTCAGAGGGTCCAGTGGCACTGCATGGCACTGTCAGTGTGGCCCAGGGCAGCTGTGGCTATGGCTTACTACCATCAGTGTGTGAATGGGTGAATGACTGAAGTGTAAAATGCTTTGGGGTCCATATGGACTTGATTAGGCGCTAAGTTCAAGCCATTTACCATTTTCTTTTGCTGCGTTTAATATAATGTATTTGTGGGTTGAGCATGTGGAATGCACCCATGAAAAAATTGCCAAATCTTTTCTGATAATGACAACTTATTTCGCTATTGTCACTTGTTTTGTTCCTGATTGTCAGTACCAATGACATGTATTGGCTATGCATGCTTCAGAAGACTGACCACTGTGGTACTGAAGTACTGGTTAGGGGTTAGTCCCGTTCTGTTTTGTCCCGAGGCTTATCAGAAGGAGATCTTCTGGTCTCGGCCCGTGGAGCTCCAGCGTGGAAAAAGTTTGCGCCGCCATATTGGAAGGGGCAAGGTGTTTGTTCGTTCATTTATCAGGGCTAGATCTCCGTGGAGAATTGCACCAGATTGTCCTTGCCTCGAATAATATAGTCGCTCTGTCCGACCAAGTAAAGTCAGGTGATAGCGCCTCTAGCCAATACACCTCATTGGTCAGTACCTGTGAGCAACCAGTGGCAATCCCATATCTAAACAGTCTGGTACCAAACTTACCTCTACAGGGTGGGGTTTGGGGATAGCCTGGAATAGCCTGTCTGCAGTTCTGACCTCAACTCCACTGAATAACTTGCACAAGATGTTTGTTCCAGAATGACCAACACAATCAAACAACTGACTAGTGACAAATGCTGGTTGAAGAATAGTGAAGCCATCCCATGGGTGTGTGTGACTAGGCTGGTGAAGTACATAAGGAGGAGGAGCCAAGCTGTTTTGATTGTTTTGGATGGGTATGCTATCATTATCATGATTGAATAGTTGAGGAACTCAAAATGCAGTCAAAAGTGTCATAATCTGTATTTATTTTCCTTGGTTTTCTAGTGTTTTCTGTGTTTTCCTGTGTATCTCTCCCCTGCTGTCATTCCTCCAGCCCTCCCTCGCTCACCTGTTTCCTCTTGTGTCTCCTCCAGGTGTTTCTTGTTGTCCCTAATTAGTTTACCTTTACATTGTGTGTCCTGTATTCAGTGTTTGTCCATTCATTGTGCTGTTTACAGCCAGTGTGGTGTCCTTCAAATGTGCCTTTGTGAGTTGTGTTGCCTTGACAGCTCTTTATTTTGGTTTAAATAAACTTTATTTACATTTTGGATTTTGCCTGCATCCTTGGTCATTCTGCCTCAACCTCACAAAAAGAGGCTGAAAGGATGCAAAAAATAAGGTTTTATTAAACAAATGTGCTGACAAGGCAGCCAAAATCTCTACTTACAATGAACCTTAGAACTCCGAGGAACATACTGTACACTCTAGGGACACGGTGAAGACACGTGTACAATGCTGACCTGTAAACCCGACACAGAGACAGGGCCTTAAAGACAGAAAAAAGACAAACACCAGTGAAGAGACAAGGAGGGACAGGTGAGAGTGGGCGTGGCTGGGGTAACAGAGGGAACAAACACAGGTAAGCAGACAGAAAGTGATAAAAAGTAAAACAAAGCCCAGGGGTCTCATTTATAAAGGATTGCGTGGAAACCATACTAAAAGTGAACGTACGGCCAAAAGGCGGAAATGGCGTACGCCAAAAAAAATTCAGATTTATAAAACCATACGTACGCACGTTTCTGCGCATCTTTCCTTTATAAATCACAGCCGCACGTCAGAGTTTGCGCACGAGGTCCCGCCTCAGGTTCTACCCTCTACACGCCCACATTCAACCATAAACAGTCAATGAAAAGTACCTCATGAATGTTAAGATATATTTAACACTAGCTTAACTGAAATTTCAAGATCCTGAGGACAAACCCCCTCCTTCTTCTTAGCAATCTGAGGGCTATTAG